TCTCCCTTTCTCTCTGCTCCTCCCCCACTCATTCTCTGTCTCTCAAAAAATAAATAAACATTAAAAAAAATTAGAATGTATTTGTTTTCTAGTGCCTTTGCCAACACTGAGAATTAGTTTTGGATAATATTAATTTGATATCAAAAACAAATGATACCTCCTATGTTAATCATATCTGATTACTAGTGAGGATGAACTTTCTCCTGTTTGTTCTCCATGAATTGTTTCTTCATGTCCTTTGATGTAGCATATCCTGTGTTTGGGATTCTAACCATGTTATATAACTTCCTTATGTATCAGCCATATGTAAACGGCTTACTAACATTTGACAAAATCTTTAGGATAATTACATCTTTTCTTCCTTCTCAAACAGGATACAATGTACAAAATTTAACCTTTTCTTAATTGCTCAAGACTGATGTTAACTTACTCAAGGAATAACTATTGAACAACAACTCCCAACACAGGCCCTGTATGCTGTCATATTAAGAGTGAATGAGGCACAGTTCTGTCAAGGATCTCATGATCTAGCATCCCAAATATCAATCACAGTTGTTCCCTGTCTTCTTTTGGTTGTTAATACACTCATCCTCCTGCTATGCTAGTGCCTTTTTGTTTCTATTTTACTACCTTATTTTACCAATTATCATCTGGGTGGATGTCTGAGGGAAATTCTGCTTCTCATGATTATAAGGTACTTGGGCCTGTTCCTGCTGTTTGACATGACTGCCTACTGGATCATGTTCTAGTGTTTACGAAAATATGACCTCTGGAGTCAAGTCAGTTGCCAGAGCACTAATGTTTACATAGCCATTCTTATTTTTAAAGCACTGTCACATATAAACTCATTTAGCAGGCTGGTACACTGTCAAGAATAACAACAAAAAAGGCCAAGTAAATTTAGCCAGTAAAAGCCCAAGCCATTAAGTTGAGTAGTAGAGAATTTCCTTGATTATATAAGTAAACCAGGTAAACAACTGGGGCATAATGACCTATCTATGAAAAACTTTCACAAAGTTTTGGAATGCTAATAGATGTTTTTAGAAAAAAGGAATTGAGGGGTGCCTGGGTGGCTCAGTCGGTTAAATGTCCAGACTCTTGATTTCAGTTCAGGTCATGATCTCACAGTTCATGAGGTCAAGACCCATGTTGATCTGTACTGACAGCACAGAACCTGCTTGGGATTCTTTCCCTTTGCCCATCCTTCACTTGCTGCTCTGTCCCTGGTCTCTCTCGAAAGAAATAAACAAACATTAAAAAAAGAAGAAAAAAGGAACTGAATGATAGAATACATTTAGAAGACAGTTGAAATGAAATAGATTAACTTAGAAGAACATGCCTAAGGCTTTAGTAATGTACTGATATATAGTGAATTTCTGAGAGATAAGAGAACATCGTATGTAATATTTCTTAAACTCATTTAATCACAGAAACCCTATTTCATTAATATCTCATGGGATTTGTAATCTGTAGAATACACTTTGGTAAAAGAAGAACTAGAGTATCCTCTACAATAACAAGTATAATAACGTCAGCAGCTATTTATCAATCCCCTCCTCTATGCCAGGCACTTTCCACATTACTTGTTTCTACCTATGAGATAAAAATATTTATTATTGATATATGTCAACAAATCACTTATTAGAATATTTATACATGACTTTAAAATTTACAGTTTTCATATTCCATTATTTTACATAATTTTCAAGGAAACCTTGAAATGTAAGACTATTTGGAGAATAAAAGTTTACATGGCTTGCTCAATGGTTTAAGTAGCTTCTTCAAGGATATATTACCAATACTGGCAAAACTGGGACTAGAAATCACATCTTCCAATTCCTACTTCATTTTTCCTTCCCTTAGTGTCAAAAGCAATAGCTGTTTTATAGGGAATCTGTTCTAGCCCTATGCAGATCCCTCATCTCTAAGGACTCTGAACACTCAACTAGGTAACATTAGCTCTGATTTTATATTAGAGTCCTAGGGACTCTTGATATTAGCAGATCAAAAGTTCAAAGAATATAGTGAGACTACTATTGGCTTACATAGGTAATTCTCATCAAAATTTTATAAAATCTTGTGACCCACTATCTACTGTCCTTGGAATAAAGCTTTTCCTATCCAAACATTACTTTTTGCCAAATTTCTTACGAGGTAGAGCCTGGAGTCACTATCCCTAGCAAGTTTTAACTCCGTTGTATGAATGTGACACACCAATTAAGAGGGAGCTTCTTTCCCCTCTGCAGTCACACATTTCTTTCCTTCCATGTCTTGGTGTTAGCTGCCCAGTGACAGTGTACTAGTTTAGAGCAGAGCCAGCCAAGTCATAGTACATGAACAATTTCTGGTGGCTCTGACCACCAGAAGTACAGGGCAACCGGAGTACATTTACTACTACAGCTGCTACATTAGGAACAGGCGTGTGATGCTGTTACTTGTTCGTTCAAGAAACATTCCTTGAGCATACAATTATGTGCCAGGCATAAATAAGCCATGATCTAAACCTCCAAAAAAGCTATCTAGTTGAAGAATGTAAATGATCAAAGCAATGCTATTAAGGACTTGAAATGTGGGTAGTCCAAACTGAGATGTCTTATAAGTGCCTAAAATGCACACTGATTTTCAAAGACAGTATAAAAAAATGAAGTGAAATATCTCAATAGTAATTTTTATATTGATTACCTGTTGAAATAATACTTTGGGTACAGTTAAATAAAATATATATTATTAAAAATAACTTCACCTCCTTCTTTTTAGCTATTTTATGCCCCTACTAGATTTTAAATTACATATGTGGCAAAAAAGATTACATCTATGGCTTGCATTATATTTCTATTAGACAACACTGGTGTAGGGAGATGAAAGAGCCTGGCACTTACGGGCAAATCAAACAGCTATGTCCTAAGGTAGGAGAAAGGAAGTAGCAAATAAGATAGGAATCAGATCATTTAGTAATTTAGTAACAGATGAGTAAGTGCCTATGTTTTGAGAACTATTCCCAATAATCCTGCTGCCAGGAACAAAATGATATGTTCAGGGCCCTCCTAAACTGCATAGCCATCTAGATCCGTTATCTAGTACATCATTCCCACTTGCTCCCATTTTCTGTCCTTCAGACTCCCAGGTGGTAAGTAAAGAAATATGTACATCTGCGGAAAAGACGACAATTTCATTTTAGATGGAACGTTGCTAGTATTCTCCTCAGCAGTATCTCTCCTTGCATAGAGTTAAGCATATCAGAAAGATCTAGAACTGGTAGCATTCACACAGATATACATCCTCTACTCTGGACCAGGGTTTACTTCCCAATAGCTCACAAGTACCATGAAAATGTAAAGCATTATTATAAAAAAGAAGGAAGGGGCACCTGGGCCACTTAGTTGGCCATTATTCTTGATTTCAGATCAGGTCATGATCTCACAGTTCATGAGAGGGATTCTCTGTCTCCCTCTCTCTCTGCCCATCCCCTGCTCGCTCTCTCAAAATAAACAAATAAACATAAAAATTTTTTTTAAATAAAAATAAAAAAGGAAAATCTTCCAAATATTTATGGAACATCTCTATGTGTAAAGTACTACACTACACTCAATGAAGGAGACAAATAAAGGATAGACATTATATCTATCTAAAGTACCTGAGTAGATTATTTCTGCTTATCTATTCCTTAAGTTATTTAGATACAGACCCCTACATATGATCAGGGACAAATTCCATCTCCCTTATCCTAATGCAATATATACGCAACATTTTATAAAATATTTGAAGAATTCACGCACTAAGCTCATCCCAGTTAAGAACTTTAAAGAACAGGTGATCTTGGGCCTACCATAACAAATATTTTAAATCAACTCACATCCCTAACCTTCTTATATCAAGCTATATGAGTGAGCACAGAATAAAGTTAGGTAAGTAAAATTCATCCAGAAGTAAACAATCGTTGTGATAACATCAACTATTACTATCAACTACTTACCGTGAACACAGCCCAGGATAGGGCAGAATGGCCTCCTCCATGCAGAAGGAGTAGGACAGGACCCTCTGAACCACTCTTGTAAACTCGAAAAGTGTATGAATAGTTAAAGATAACATATCTAAGCATTTCCTCACTGAAGTTTTTGATTATTTTATCATAATACTGACTAGAAAACTCAGGCAGTACAACGCTCTATGCAAAGCTACAGACTTACAAACTTAGAGACACTTAAATACAAGTTTCTGAAACACCAAACCTGTTTTTGAAGGATGGAGCCTGTATGACCACTTTTTCAACGAGCAAACAAAAAAAGATTCCCTTTGCCCTAATGAGGACATAGTCCCTGGTTTCTAGATGCCAAATTGATTCAACTCACTTGATTCATGAAACCTTCCCCTGGGCCCTTAAGAGATACACCAGTTTTAGGAATTTAATTCTTCTTTCCCCACGCATTAGACAATTTTATCCATGTAAGACGTTGGCACAGACTTACAGGTTAAATTTCATGCTATACAAAGAACAGGTAAGGAACAAAAATGAAATAAACAGCAGGGAGAAAGAACATTTTAGAAATTCACATGTCTTCTTAGACAACATTATAAACTTGTTAAAGAATAAGTCATTTTGTAAAGGATATATCCTTGCCAGTTTCATTCTCTACTTCTACATCTTCCATGGACTCAAAGTACTGACTCCAAGAAACAGGGGAAAAGTCTCGCTTTCTTCCAGGGCTAAGGAAAAAAAAAGAGAGAGAGAGAGTTCAAGTATAGTTATGCATGAAAAGATAAAATCTTGATCAACAAATGCTAAATGTAAATCTGAAATGAAAACTGCAGGCAGGGGTATTTTTTTT